CTGCATTTATATCTCATAATTCTGTTTATATCTCACTATTCTGCATTTATATCTCACAATTCTGTTTATGTCTCACAATTCTGCATTTATATCTCACAATTCTGTTTATATCTCACTATTCTGCATTTATATCTCTAAATTTTGTGTTTATATCTCATAATTCTGCTTATATCTCACAATTTTGTGTTTATATCTCACAATTCTGTTCATATCTCACAATTTTTTAAATCTCACACTTCTGTTTATATCTCACAATTCTGTTTATATCTCTCAATTTTGTGTTTATATCTCACAATTCTGTTTATATCTCATAATTTTGTTTATCTCACACTTCCGTTTATATCTCACAATTCTGCATTTATATCTCACAATTTTGTTTATATCTCACTATTCTGCATTTATATCTCACAATTCTGTTTATATCTCACAATTCTGTTTATATCTCACAATTCTCTGTTTATATCACAATTCTGTTTATATGTCACAATTCTGCGTTTATATATCACAATTTTGCATTTATATCTCAATTCTGCATTTATATCTCTCAATTCTGTTTGTCTCACAATTCTGCATTTATATCTCACAATTTTGTGTTTATATCTCACTATTCTGTGTTTATATCACACAATACTGTTTATATCTCACAATTCTGCATTTATATCTCATAATTCTGTTTATATCTCACTATTCTGCATTTATATCTCACAATTCTGTTTATATCTCACAATTCTGCATTTATATCTCATAATTCTGTTTATATCTCACTATTCTGCATTTATATCTCACAATTCTGTTTATATCTCACAATTCTGCATTTATATCTCATAATTCTGTTTATATCTCACTATTCTGCATTTATATCTCACAATTCTGTTTATATCTCACAATTCTGCATTTATATCTCATAATTCTGTTTATATCTCACTATTCTGCATTTATATCTCACAATTCTGTTTATATCTCACAATTCTGCATTTATATCTCATAATTCTGTTTATATCTCACTATTCTGCATTTATATCTCACAATTCTGTTTATATCTCACAATTCTGCATTTATATCTCATAATTCTGTTTATATCTCACTATTCTGCATTTATATCTCACAATTCTGTTTATATCTCACAATTCTGCATTTATATCTCATAATTCTGTTTATATCTCACTATTCTGCATTTATATCTCACAATTCTGTTTATATCTCACAATTCTGCATTTATATCTCATAATTCTGTTTATATCTCACTATTCTGCATTTATATCTCACAATTCTGTTTATATCTCACAATTCTGCATTTATATCTCATAATTCTGTTTATATCTCACTATTCTGCATTTATATCTCACAATTCTATTTATATCTCACAATTCTGCATTTAAATATCATAATTCTGTTTATATTTCACAATTATGTGTTTATATCTTACAATTCTGCTTATATCTCACACTTCTGCATTTATATCTCACAATTCTGCATTTATATCTCACAATTCTGCGTTTATATCTCCCAATTCTGCATTTATATCTCACAATTCTGCGTTTATATCTCACAATTCTGCATTTATTTCTCACAATTATGCATTTATTTCTCAATTATGCATTTATATCTCACAATTCTTCATTTATATCTCACAATTCTGCATTTATATCACAGTTCTGTTTATATCTCTCTATTCTGTTTATATCTCACAATTCTGCATTTATATCTCACAGTTCTCTGTTTATACCTCACAATTCTGTTTATATCTCACAATACTGCATTTATGTCTCACAGTTCTATGTTTTTAATCTCACAATTCTGCATTTATATCTCACAGTTCTGCATTTATATCTCACAATTCTGCATTTATATCTCACAATTCTGCATTTATATCTCACAGTTCTATGTTTATATCTCACAATTCTGCATTTATATCTCACAATTCTGCATTTATATCTCACAATTTTGTGTTTATATCTCACTATTATGCATTTACCTGTATATCTCACAATTCTGTTTATACCACACAATTCTGCATTTATATCTCAGAATTATGTATTTATATCTCACAATTTTGCATTTACATCTCACAATTCTGTGTTTATATCTCACAGTTATGCCTTTATGTGAGTTTTTCTCAGAAGAAAAGTCAGAATTGTTTGATAAAGACTGAATTTAGAGGTTTTATAGAACCAAATTGTGAGATTTAAAAAGTCACAATGAAATGAAATAAAATTAATAAATTATTTAATTAAGTTTCTTGGTTAGCATACGAGACCTTTAAAAAAAAAAATTCTTACTGGCCCCAAACTTTTAAACAGTAGTGCCTGTATATAATTTATTGATATCTCTTTATATTTCTCTCTCCTCCATCTCCCTTCCACTCCAGTTCCATGTATGTTTCATGTTATAATGTATCATACAGTTTCAAGTCAGTGTCTCCTTTGGGTCCTTGTGTGAAGAGAGCTCTAGAAACTGAGGTGGAAAGTTGAGTTTCTTTGAGGAGGGATTTCTTTCTTCTTCACTGTTTCTCTCTACGTGGCATAGAAGAGCGTAACAAACCCCCATCTCATATATCTATCACAAGTTCACTTGTTTTTTCTTTTCCCAATTTTACATTATTTAGTGAGTTCAAGGAAATATTTATGATTTATCCTGCTGCTGATTAAACTGAACCCTTGAGCCAACAAAAAGTTTTCCTTTTCAGATGATTTCGCCCAGTCCGAACAAACTATAGGATTAATATTAAGCAAAAGTAAAAAAGCCTTTAACTCTTTATTTTTATGCCACAGTACTGAGGTAAAATTACTTGCGATGGCTGTTTCATGTTGACCTAAACTGCCAGATTTCAGACTCAGCAGGTGGATTTGTCTGTGTTCTCATCCTCTGGTCTCCATAAGCAGAGCCACAGGGCCTTTGTGTGGCATCCAGCTCAAATGAAATGCTTAAACCGCCTCGTGGGCTTCTCCCTTAAGGGGGATATTACATTTAATTGGCCTGGCCTGGCCTGTCCTGTCCCCTTCTCATCATTTCAGAGGTCTGTGCTGTCTTCTGATGCATTAATCACATGGAAAACCGTCTCCCACACCGGGTTTCATAGCATCTATATTAAAGAAGCTCCTTTTCCAACCCTGCTTTAATTTCCCTCAGGAGTGAAGCCTGGCGTTTACTCTGTGTCAGTTCAGTGTAGCCCAACAGTGCGTTCACGCTGGATTTATGTACCAGTTTGGAATGGATTATTAGATTCCTGATGGAAATGGAAAAATACAGTGTTTGGAAAAGAAAATCCATGATGATTTGAAGACACTTGAAACTATTTGCCCTAAACTAACGGGGTTTCTTTAAAGGGAACAAAGAGGTGGCTATTACTCTCTCTCTCTCTCTCTCTCTCTCTCTCACTCACTCACTCACTCACACAC